TCACCCACTCAGGAGTGAACAGGCAAAGGGAAGAGAGCCAGTCTACAAAAATAATAACGGTCCACATCTCAAAACCCTAACTGTAAATCATCTCCCTGATCATAATTAAATGAACCAAAAGTCTAATAAGACTGGACACGTGTAATTCTTTGTACTCCATAGATTAAAGAACAATTAAGAGGCTGGAAGCTGAAAACTGGCTTAAGCTAAAGTTACACAATTGTGTGGACAAAATTCATTTGGCCACAGGAAAGCATTTACATATTTAATATAGGACATTTTAAATAGGTTTATATTGGCCTAAAAATAGCATCTTGAATAGATTATTATTGCAGTAAAATGCTTGCTTTACACCTGAGTAATGAGACCACCAAACATTAAAAACCCCACATGCAGAATGTGCAGGCTCTTGACCATTTGTCTCTCTGCCTCAAACTCCAAGTTGCAGAGCTTTACACCACCATATTCAATTAAATCAAATTCAGACTATAATTTTCCAATACTTTCTTTACAGTTAAATACAACACTGACCAATGCTTACCAGGTTACAATGCTAAGCAATTCAAGTGATAATCACAATGATGAATGTGTAATCTAACACCCATTTGCCTTGATTTATACAAACCATCACATATAAGCCTCATGCATCCATTGTAAGTCACTGGGAAGAATCATATTTTTCCTGATCTGAGTTAGTATTTGGTCTGAACTTAGGCAGTTCATTTTTATTTGTTTGCATTAACCAGAATCAGTCTTCACACATAGAGGAAGATGCCTGGGGCTGCACAGTCCTCTGCAATCTCAGCAATTGGCCCTCTCATTCCATGTGATAGTTATGCTGAAAAAATAAGATCAACCAAATTTCCAACTGCCCTAACAACTGTGGGGGAAACAGATCAGACTGTTCTTTACTTCTGAAGAAAAGGTGCCAAAAAGGTCAGCCTTTCATATGAAATACAGATCATTAACACTGGATACACAACTATGGTGATGCTCACTTTTTGTCTCTATTACTGGGATTTGATTGTATCTATTTCAGGATGTTCTATACTTCATATACATGGCCTTTAAGGTCCCTTCCAAACCATTTTATGATTCTAAAAATGCCCCAACTCTTTCATGTACTACTCCTTGGCTACAATTAAAGCTCAAAAACATAGAGAAATTATGATTTTTATTGACAACACAATAGTTTTGTGTTGAGTAGAGAGGCTGAATGAAACACACCTGCTTTCATGCAAACTCTCACATTATGTGAGTTAGATGCAAACACAACATGTAACAGAACAACTGACTGCTCATTCCTAAAAGTGTCCAAATTCCAATTAAAATAAAATGATAGAATTCTCAAGTATCTGAAAAGGCACTGCATTAAATGATAAGAATTCCAAGGTCAAACACCCACTTTGTGAAGTGCTTTAGCCCGATTTGCACTTACCTTTTTTCAGAGACTAATTGCAGAAACAGCACCCAAACAATTATAATTTATGACCTTTTAACATAAAGTATAATTTCTTAGGCTCATTCTTTTATATTCCATCCCATATTCTTCCAAATAAAAGCTGCCCAAAAATACTTTGCATGAAAAACTAAATGTTCCCAGTGACAACTCTGATCAAATCATTCTTTGCACATGAACACTGAAAGATGCAACAACAGCAAGAACCACTAGTTATTCTTATAACTTCAAGACTAAACCCTAAATATAGTATGTTTTCAAGTCCTCTTTCCTAAAATTCAAGTAATATGTTCATCGCTTTAACTGAAAGCTAACAAAGTACAACTTGTATTGTGCTGCAGGCCATAAAGGGAATGTTCTTTATTTGAGTCATGGTTGGATGAGGATGAAAAGTAGTTTTTGAAAATTTACAACAGTTTTGACACTAGTGTGTGTTTATCGTTACAAGTTATCCCTCTCTATTTATCAGACTGACTCTAGACCTTTCACTACCTTCAAAAAGACAATTTTTATCAATTCCTCATGTCCTTACAGCTAACCATAGGAAACTGCATAGAATACTTAGAAAATCCATAAGAAAGAATAAGGATAAGAGAAAGAATGGGAATAAGAAAGAATATGGATAAGAGAAGGACCCCAGTGTCTGCTTCACTAAGGCAAGAGAGGCTATGGTTTAAAAGGAACATTTAGTAATTAATTTGCCTTTAGCACAGCACTCAAGTGACATTTTGCTACCATTTACCTATCCTGAGTAAACATTCTGTTACATAAAAAATGTTCCCAAGGAAAAGGAAGCCCTTTCTTCTCCACCCTGAACTGACACATCACCAGCACTGCTTCCAGTACTTCACAGCAGACAGCTGTATTTTGCTTGTGAATCCCATGAAAATCTTTACTTCTCTACCCCAAACAAACCTTTATTCAAAGTAAAACTGTTCTTAATTTCTGGAGAGTATTTGGGAAGCTTGGTTTCATACAAAACAAGTGGTGCCCACCTGCCTGTGGCAGCCCTTGTTAGTTTTGTAAATCAGGACTCTGGGTCTACAGTTGGAAAAATGAACTCTCAACGATGGAGCAATTTCAATACCTAATCTTCTAAATTTGACTTTCTGAAAGATGAATTACCAGCCTTCGTGTCAGTCTTTACTGACTGCACCAAGATGCAAATACAGGTCCACAATGTGACTACATTATTTATTGCAGGGCAAACACCAGCCTGCAGGAAACATCCCTGACATCAGACACTGCAGGTGCCTCCAGGAGTCACCAAGACTACCAGGAATTTTTTTAACACAACTTCAAAGGGCAAGGAGAGCCCACAACTGATTCTGGAGCTTCCCAAATGATCCCAGGATGGTAAAGCAGAGGTAAGATGTAACAAAGCCTTGCAGGAGCAAACAGAACCCTCATCTTTCTGCAAGGTGCCACAGTTCCAACTTACAGGTAAGGCAGCATCAGAGACAAACAACTGCTGCTGTTTTCAAAGACTTGAGACTTAAAAGCTTGGCTAGCAAAAGATTTTCTCCCCCTTTTTTATCCCACAGAAAATGGTATCTGATAACACAAAAGCTTCCAACTTAGGTGATTCTTCAAAGGACTTCAGGGAGCACCCAGAGAGCTTGCAAGATGCTGGACAGTAACACCAGGGCATGAAACACCTACACTGCAATAAGATCACCTCAAACAACATGTCCCAACTTGGACATACAATTAATTTTTTTGCACATGTGTACAAAGACTTAGGGAAAATTCTTTGTACAAAGCTTACATGAAAACTCAGCAAATTAAAGCTAAGATGACATGAGCTACAACACAGCATTTTTCTACCTAAGAGGAAGAATCAAACCAGTGTTTCTGTAATTTCTTCTCCCACAATTTAAAGGGTTTCTGTACACCTTCTTTGTGAAATAGTCTGAATAATAATTACCTCATCACAACATTTAACAAACACTTGTCACTATGCGCTGCTGACAAAGAAGAATTACTAAAACTTTTCCTCTCAAAGCAAGAGGAAAAGACAGAAGCAAAGGCTTAGTCACTTCTTCACATAACAGAAGTTTGCTGAGCAGTTTACCAAAAAATCAAGACCTATTATTTCTCAAAGCAAAATAACACATTGCACTTGGAAGATGTGTGCTCTCCATACTGAACAACACCTGTTACATACCTGAAGGGGTTTCTTGAGCAAGCCAAGTCTCCCCAGGTGGTAATTACACTGATCAAATCATCCCCACACATGTTGTAAAAATGGAAAGCAAGAAGTAAAGGTAGTCTTAATGGATCAACAGCTTCTTCTGATTTTATGCAGCACACAAAAAGAACAAACATGGAAAACTCTGGCGATGCATTAAGGCAATTCTTACACCCAAACAATTTGATAATGTAACTTTGCGTACCAAGCCAGTTTTTTTCCATAAATAATGATCTAAACAGAATACTAGTCAATTCACCAAAAGATATCAAAGATATCCCTTTATTACAAATGATCCAAGAATCCCCCTTGAGGCTATGGCTATCAGAAAGCATTTAGTTGGTTCTCCAGCCAGTAATTTTCAGATCTGTTTTATTATGAAACTGTAACACATTTTCAATAACTTTTAGCTTTGCTATACAGAGCAACAAATAATTTCCCAGAACCCTTTGGAAAATCTGACACACAAAATGATTCTCTAGTCAACTTGTGTATTATTAAGCTGAAAAAAAAACCCCATATATCGGATCATTTGATCACTGGAGAGAATGGCAAAGTACTGGGAGCTTCAGGACAGATGGACGAACTTCAGGTCATATAAAACACTACCAAGGCTGTATTTGAAGAAAAATGTGAAAGTTTGTGAAAGCGCCCCGGGTGAAAATACTTTGTGTTGCTAAGAAACATCATCCCTGATGATGGATGAATTAAATTGTCTCAGTTAGCAGCCAACTCCAGGCATCCCTCGTTTATTAGGAGAATGTTTTCTCATACTGGTAATTTATTTCAACGGCTACGTACAAATAAAAAGCCCTACCTTAAAATGAAACTGAGAATTTCAAACTTGCATAATTAATGCTACAAAACAGTACAGAGTTTGCATCTTGAACAGAATTTAATAACTAACATCTAACAATGTAAACTCTAAAATTAATATTAATACAACCAGACTATTAAGAACTTATTTTAGGATTGTCTGCAGTGAAATATACTGTTCAACTACCAAAATTACTTTATGTACAATCCAATGAAGTACAAAACTCTTCAAATGTTTCCAAGAACATTAATCAATAATTAATCAATATTCAGGCAATCAAATTTTAAACATCACTGAGAGAAAAGCATATTCATTTGTCATGTATTGTTATGATGACAAAAACATAAAAATTATGCATGAAAGAAATCATGCAAACTACCTGCTTTGGTCATATGGATATTGTCTTAATGTTTCATCTAGTTACTTTTTTAATGACTTGCTCACTGTTTCTCCTGCAGGACAGATTGATGAACTTAGGGCAGCGAATCTTTGCTTTTCTGAAGTGTTTGCTGTTGAACTCCCACAGATCATACCTGCTTTGCCTGCCATGCATGGCGTTCAGTGAAATCCTTTCAAAGGTACAGATGGAACAGGGGAAGGCCTCAGCTCTTCTCTTCCCACCAGCTGCACATCAGGCCAGAGGAGCTCACCTGAAAGGAGAAAGAACAGCAAGCACATCTCACCTGGCACAGCCTTCAGAGCAGGACACAGCAACAGAGGAGAAGCACAGCAGGTGGGGAGCCCCAATATAAGAACAGTCCCAATGTCAGGAAATAGCCCCATGACTGCTGCTCAGAGATGAGGGAAAGGGCAGGGCTTCCTTCACAACCCAGAGAGGAATATGCACAATTTTATGCCACCCAGAAACCAACACAGTTGTTGCACTGAAAACAAACCAAATGCAAAGATCCATTTTCCAAGAACACAGTTGGCAAAGGGGAGAGTCATTAAAGAAAATGAATTTTCATTTGTCTGATGCCAAGGCTTTGGGGTTTTTCTTCCTAGTTACTAGATTGTGTTCTGACGGAGATTTCAAGTTAAAAATCCCAAATTTTAGGCCTACAGAGTCCAATTTAAGGAAAAAGGTAGAAAACCCTCCATAAACTGTTCTTTGGATCGCATCACAGCTTCCAAGTCAGAAATTACCACACACAGTTACATGCCAGTAATATACTCAGCTAGTCAATACACAGAGGCAGCCACAGAGGCTCTTCATCCCAAATAACCCCACCACGGAGCAGAGTTACCACTGGAGAGCCCGAGGAGAAGTATTTAACAATGATACCAATTTGGCTGCGCTAGAGGAGATGTGTTTCCTGTGGGCCTAATAAGGAAGAGCTTTACAATCTGAGCAGAAGCCTTTCAAAGCCTCAGAGGACATGTCTTATCTGCACCACTTCTGCTCCTGGAATCCCAGAAATCCTGAAGACAGAAGGCAGATCAGACTGAAGCTTTCCTAGGCACAGATGTTGCAATCACATCTGCCTTAACTCTAAGCCACAGTCCTTGTGTCTTCCCAACTCTGTCAGCATCTCTTAGTTGCTTTGGTTTTGGAAATGCCAGGGCAGAGGATAAAAAAGTGTTTCTGATCACATCAGGTGTAGTAAAATACCAACATAAAAGAAAAACATCTGCAGATTATATTCCAAGCAAGTAGCAAGGAAGAAAAGGTTTTGAAGCAGAGAGTGTTTCTTCCCCTTCTCCCTTGTCTATATATTTCACAAAATAACACTCAAATCTTGAGATCTGATTGATCAAAGTTTTTTGGGGTTTTTTTTAGGTGTTCATCTAGCAGCCATGACGAATGACCATCTGTGGGTCCGACACTGAAGTATAATTAACGATGAGTTTTACACACCACTCAGAGAAACTGAGTCACCCATGGGTGCAGATCCATGTAAGCATTCCTCAAGCTTTTTTCAACTTATTAAAAATCCCCTCTCTAAACACCTATAGCTCCAAGATGTCAGATTTGATTTGTCCCATTTCAGATTGCTCAATGAAAGACAGACACAGAAAGAACCAAGACCAGCAATGGCTCCAAAGACAACGAGGGAATCAGAGCACAACACAGTCCTTCTGTGCTCCAGCTCCAAAGGCTGACTGCAACAAAGTACAGATTGCAGGACTCTGAATATAATAAACTTCCTCTTGGCATTTTATAAATAATCCTGCATTTCAGTGGAGGATTATTTAATGTTTTCATTTATTACTTGATGGACAATGTAGTTGCAAAATTTGGTAGTTACCTGAGAAATGCTACAAGCATTCTGGGAAACAGAGCTAGAATTGAGAAAAGTGGGACTAAAGGATTACCAGCAAAACTGAAACTGGGGTTTTAATACTGAACACCAAAATTGAAAAATAATTCCAGTTTATAATAATGAGAGGAGCATCATATGAAAAAGATACTAAGATTTATCCTGTTCATCACAGATCCTAAGGTTGTACATTACACTCAGGTTTCAAAACAGATGTATGAAACAAGCTCAAAAGAAAACCTAAACAATCTGGGAGAGTTAAACAGTGAGTACAAAAAAAAGGTAAAGAAAAAGATGAGACAAGCTTTAAAATACGTTAACAGCAGCCACAAGAATCATGCCCTATTGCACTACTGCAATATCCACTGCAGATAAAAAAAAAAAAGCTTAACAGGTTCAGAAAAGAATAGAATAGTATCAGAGGAAATACGCTACCTCTAGGGATAGTTAAACAAGGGATCAGGTTATGGAGGGGTTACGCAAATCTCCAGATTGTTTTTAAGACCTGGTAAGAAGAACATGTCAGGAATGGCCCATACATCTCTCTCTGGCTTGACACTGAACTACACACTCACACATCCAGCCTCAGCACAGAGTGATGACCTCCCAAGATCGCCGTTTTCTTTCCTAAACTTAAAGGCTGCACAAGTTTAGGCTCCTGCCAGGCAACTCAGCAGGTGACCTGACTGCTCCTTAGAGCTCCAAGCAGGCTTGTGATATCTCTCTTTTCTAAATAGCCCAGGCAGGCTGTGATTGACAATTTTCTCTCACATGAAGCATGCTACCTTAAATGTGGAGTACTCGGAATGATCCGCCAGGGAAATAAAGTCAAAGTACAGAGAAGGCAACGGCAACTGATCCCAGGAATCCAGTCCTGGGAAGGAAATCACAAAACTGCCAAGCTGGGCAAGGATGCACAACCCATTAGTACCTAAAAATACAGACAGTTATATTTTCTTTTCTAGCACCTCCAATAAATAAGTCTTAATAAAAAGAAGTATTTAACAAAGTACTTAGAGAAATAAAGAGGGAAGGTTTGACGCTCCTAAGCTTATTTTCACAGCGGTATGAAAGGAAATGAGGTAGAGTCAGAGCTAATTCTCTTTATATAATTTCACATGGAATGATTAGTTCTGCCCCAACAGTAACAGCTTTCCAGAGGGTCCTACTTGTCGCCAAGATTGCATACAGATGCTCTAAGTGTAGCTTCCTTATCCTCCACTGACAACCAACTTAAAAGGCCAATATAATATTCATTTTACTATAGAATGAAATTCACAGCGTGAATAGTAAAATAATGTCACAACTACCATGAAACTGCAGTGGCGTGTTGGAAGCTGTGACTTTTCAAAGTTTAATCACAAAATGCATTCATGGAGAGGAGCAGAGCAGCTTTGTGCTTCAGCCACATCCCCTTTCCACTAAGGATGTGCAAGAGCTGTGGCTGGACAAGGAGAGGGCAAAGGCACAGAGCAGCATTCGTGTCACACGCCCTGCTGAATATTTTCCTTTAGAAGGCAGGTTTCAATCATTCCTGGGCTAATGCCCCCCTCTCTTAAGCCTGATTAGGACAGACATTCCACATGCTGAAGGTGCTAGAATTCCTAAGTCACCTGGGTCGCTTCTGGGTGAAATACCAATTACTGGGAATTCATCTCAACAAGGCCCACAAAAAGAAAGCCCTGAAAGACACCCCTCAGCCCAATGGTGAACATATCACAAGGATAATCCTAAAACTCCTTGCAAAAAAACAACTTGTAATAGGTATTAGTACTCTTAGAAAGCACTGCAGTGCTTTGTGTTTAATCCTTGAATAGACACTAGCAGAAAAGCCATATTCAATTCCAAAATTTCTACTGCAAATTCCAGCTCAGCTGCTATTATTCCTGGCTTTTAAGGGATATATATATATTTCAAATATACATAATAGTAAATTTAACTATCAATGAAAAATTTAAGTCACATGCCAAAACAGTATGCAAAATAATAGCATACAAACTTTAAATGTGTGTATTTTGCAGTTTTTAGCACAATCATTTGTTTTACAAAAGACCTACAGATTAAATACAAAATACACTATTAGTTTTAGGCACAAGAACAACCAATTTTTTATGCCTTGCCCGAAATAATGACTAATTAGGCCAGCATCACCCTGCAGTCATTTCCATAAATCTTGCCTTTACATTTAAATCACAACAAGAAGAAAACTGACTTAACAACAACAAGAGCATATTTCTCATTAAAGTTTTCTTAAAGCAAGATCAGGACAAGAAATTATTCTGTAAAGTCAACAAGCTGATGTTATTGTTTATTTGGAGAACTTTAACTCAGACCAAACAAAAAGCTGCACTCAGAAATTTGCTGTATTAAAACTGCAATCAGCCAGGGAAAACTTTCAACTGGGAAATCATAAAACACAGAATTTCACAGGATCTTGATGGATTTCTTATATAGCAAAGTCATCTCACAGCATATTCCTTGTGTAAACCTTGAAAAGAACCAGAATATAAAAGATGCAATATGTTCAACTACTTGTTGAATTTTTGGTTTTGGGCATATTTGTATGTAAAGTAAATATTAAAAAGAAAGATACATAGGAAATACAATTCAGATGAAACAAGGAGCTGTACTTCAATTAAGATTTTTGTTTTAAAATGATGGGAATTACAGTGCTTCTGAGAAATCACTTGTTTAATTATATACACTAGGCAAGACACTTATAAAAACACTTTATTTTCATAATGCAACAGAGACTTTATTTCTATTTTATTTACAAAGGTGTCACCTGGTAAATAAACACCAATAAAACAGAATCAAGATTTATATAGTCACATATTCCACAATAAGGTTATTAACAGACAACACTGAGGTAAGCTTTCTTTTCTTACCCGAAAACTGATGGAAAGAACAGAAAAAAGTGGGATATTTCTCTAAGAGGTGGTCTAGAAATAGAGCTAAGCCACACCACCACTGCTCTGGCTAATCATCCATTCCGAGTTTCAAGCATTCCCAACCATTTCCTTTTGCATGTACACACAAAGGTTTGTGATACTCTGCAAGTTCTTCCATACAATGGCTTTACAACAGGTCTGTTTCTAATATGTGTATTTTATTAAGCTTTAGAAGGATTAACCAAGATTCTCAGTTCTTGAGGAAAATAGGGCATGGCAACAGCAAGGTCTCCAGCCTTCATTCCAACACACTTGACTGCTGAATCCTGCCAGGGTGAGTCATGCCCAACATGGGACATGGATCCCATCCCAAGAAGGAATAAAACACTGCATCAGATTAAATCTGCATCCAATTACTTAGGTGTGAACTCAAAGGGTGTGTTTTTATCTCAATGACAGCTTCTAAAAATGACTGTGAAAGAAATCTTGCACTCTGGATGGTGTTTTATCCATCAAGACCATGACCACTACACATTTTCAGTTGCCAGAGGCATGGCCAAAGTGACCTTCTTAAGAACCACTGCTGCACCTCAAAGGAAAAAAAAACATTCCCATGGTATTTAGGGCAGTTCTATACTTGTATCACTGAGCATCAGTAACACAGACAACCTGCTGCACAAACAGGCAATGACTGCCCAAAAATAATCTTGGAAAACAGCATGTGAAGCCACACTGGTACACTGCTGTAGAGCCACAATACATACAGATGTTTTCAGATGCAAAACTAATTAAATTCCCCTTTTTTGGGTCACCCTAACATTTTTTCACAACAACTCAGCAAATTACATATGTAATATATTTCGAACATTTGATTATATGCAAACTTATACACGCAAATATTCAAATCCAAGTTGCTTATCCAAGATCTACCTACTTTGGGATTTATGTATCACAACTGTTTGTGTTCTTTGCTTTGACCCTAAAAAAATAATTAATCAGGGGAAAAAATACAAACCACTCTTAGTGCCTGGCCTTGCCTGTTTTCCTCCAACTTCTGCATTTCATCATTAGTGTTACATACTTCACTGTTAATTTTAGACATTCCTCCAGTTCTCATTTGGACATCAAAGAGCTACTCATACCCAAAATACCAGCAATCTGAAATACTGGCTTCCCTACTTATTGTCATTTATAACTTGAAAAGATCTTTGATTTCTTGCCTACAGGAAATACTGCCGATCAAAAATAAAACATATATATGCTCCCAAGAATTCCTATAGATGGGGTCCAGGATTTAGGATAATGGAATGGAGTCATGGTTTTCAGATTTACATTTCCTACTCTGCCTGGCACTTCACACGTTTATTTTTACTTTCACATCTGACATGCAGCAATATGGCCAGCTAAGGTGCACGTTCAAGACATCCATTGATATAAATCCATGGAGAAGTGAAATTCACACCGGGTTCTGTGTCCTTGCAGCACTCAGGCCTCGCTTCCTCGCCGATAACTGCTCCGCTTACCGATGGCTGGGGGCAGCCCAAGGCTGGCTCTCCACAGCCCCTTGTTAGCAATTCTGCCACCAAAGATTAAAGTGATTTTCCTGCTTTACAAACTTGGTAGAGAACATTTCTCACATACAAATGGGGGAAAAAAAAATGGTAGCCAGCTTTTTTTATTTTCTGAAATGCCTGCTGCATGAGTTCCTAATAGCCTTGAGTTTATACTTAGAGTTTACTCTTCACTTCTGCAATTTTTTTTTAAATTAAAAATAATACTACATTACACAACTAATTCCAAACAATGAGAGACTCACTGTGCTCAAGTAAGCAAGCCATTTGCTTTGGTTTTGTTAGTACTCCCACTGCACAACAGCTCATGTCTCAAGCAGTGGAACAATCAACATTAAGATGCTGTTCTTTATACCAGCATCATAAAATAGAATCATTAAACAGTTCAGGTTGGAAGGAAACTTAAAGATCATTTTATTCCAACTCGCTGCCATGGGCAGGGACATCATCTACTAGACCAGGTCGCTCCAAGCCCTATCCAGCCTAGCCTTGAACACTTAGCACTACTGTAACCAAGAATAACTCTCATACCACTAGAAATTTTCAGTTTATTTCCCTACAACAGAACACAATTCTCTTCATACAGGACTCTATATGTTACATTTGTGAATTCAACTTTTACAGAAACAGCAGTTACCACTTTTATTTAACCAGGTAATTAACATCTCAAGTCTATGCACAAGACAACTGGAACAGCTAATGCAAGACAGTATTCCACATTAAGTATTTGCTCAACAGTTGCAGGAGAAATGCCTTACCCCCATGGCTCTCCCAAGCTGGACTATATAGGATTGTTTTGCATAAACATATTCTGATCTTGTGAAGACAAACAATGAGGATGCATAGGTATTTCAGTTCTTTTCTGTAGTTATATTCCAGCTTACAGACAGTAAGAATTGAAATACAGCACATGGTGCCAGAACTACTTGCCCTCTCTATGTCAGGAAGTGCTTGGTGTTATCACAGCTTCCAACAACCATTCAGGTTTTGCACAAGGAGCTGATTCCAGGAGCCCTGAGTGAAGGAAAGTACACTAAACATGTGCTGTTCTGATGATAAAATCATCTGCTTAGACACTTCCACCAGGGCAGGACATTGGTCAGAGACCACAAAAGTTCGCTGCTTTGATCAAAACAGAAAGCAACAAACTCAGTGCTGTAAATTGGGACAGAGGCCTAAAACGCTCAAGGCATGTAGCTCTGAGCTATGGGCTCAAAGCACTCTGCAGTCACAGAGTGCAGAAAACATGTATAAAAAGCTAAAGCAGGAACTTTTTGTTTTCATATTCTCAAATTTTATTGAGCAGAAATGTTTGAGGATAGTTTATTGCTTTTACCGGCCACTCTAAAATGGGCCTCCAGCCAGCCAGGTCTTTAAAATATGTCTATATCTCTGGTTTTAAAACAAAATTAAGGAAGTTGTATAATTTTTACACTGGAGCCTGAGTGACTTAGCAGCAAAAGCGACAGGTTTCAGCTGTAACACAGGCACTTGGAAAGCTACGGGCACCACTTTTGCAACAGCACCTGTTGCAGTTGGTATTGATCCTAATGTGAGGGGTCTACAAGGGTTAATTCACAAGTGTTTAACTCATGGCACATCCCAGGAGATTCAAATTCAGATGTACCAGAAATCAAAACTGCATTTCATCAGCTGAGGGAGGAATTTGGTGCTCTGTTTGTAAAATACCAACACCCTGAGCTGAGCAGAGTTTTGGTGCTGGGTTGTCTCTATCATTCATTAAAGGGGGAAATTAAACAGAAAGTTTGTGAACAAGTCAATTACAAAACATACTCGTGTATTGCTACAGTTGTAAACACCAAGGTGTTTACACTATATTGAGAATAACTTTCACTTTCTTATATATACACAAACTCAAAAAAAACAGGACTGATTTTAAATCCTATCTCCCCTTTATGCAACCTGGACTCACAGTATTTAAACTGACTTTAGTACACCTGGACTTTCAAGAAAGGGGAAAAAAGACGAGGCAAGAATACACTCGATATGAGGCCTTAAAAGCCTCAATTAAAATTCAATATTGTACTTCATATAGAGGCTCTTTACATAAAAACCCTGTCATGGTTTGGATTTAAGGTTAACCAGGTTAATAGAATCCAATAAAATAGTTCTATTGAATTATGCCAAGCCATTGTTATAACCCACACTGAAATCTGCTATTTGACTTTACCTGACTATTAGGCTCAACTCTGAACAATAAATTAAGCCTCAAACTATTTCCCATATTCCTTAAAAAAACACAGTACATCCTTTTGCACCTTTAAAGGTTTCTCTCCTCCAGTCTGCTACTCCAGTCATGTGTTAAAAGATTTGTGCAGCCCTGCCAAGTCCCATTCATCCCAGACACACTTTCCCTAAAGTTGGGATGTGTTTACAAAGTATATTTAACCAGCTCCTCTGCTGCAAAGTGTTCTGTTCCAGGGCATACTTAGCTTATAATAATAAAGCCGATTTCCTAAAGTCCACACGTTTCGTACAAGTAGTGTTTTTAATGTCTCTGTTTTCCTCCTTCTAAAAAGCTTGATGGAATGCCAAAGCTAAGGGTGCAATTTCTCCGGATAGCTTCACCAGCAGAACTGCTCATACGTATAAATATTTTAATTTTGCTACTTGGAACCAAACCGGGTTCAGATTCTGCCGCTCCCTTTATCTGCTCACAAAAAGCAGCCCCTGCCCTGCACACCTTGCCTGCCAAAACAAAAGGGCAAAAGGAGAAGAGTGTCTGTACAGAGCAGCCTCCTCACGGGCACTGCGACCGCCCGGGCCCGGCTGCGGCGCGGGGCCCCCGCGGGCCAAGGCCGGGCCAGGCCGCGCTGCCCGCCCGCCGAGGGCCCGCCCGCCCCGGGAAGGGGCCGGGGCAGCCGCGGCCGCTGCCCGCGCTCCCGGTCCCGCCGGCAGCCATGTTAGAGCGGGAGGCGGCCCCGCGGCTCCGGGGAGCAGCCCCTGCCCGCCCGCGGCGCTCAGGGCACAGCGGGGCCGGGCTCTCCGCCCAGCCGCGGGCCGCAGGTGCCGGGAGCCGCGGCGGGCGGAGCCGGCTGCTCTGCTCCCCTCCGTTCCTCTCGGCTCCCCCCGCCCAGCGCGGCGGGGCTCGCCCGGAGTCCTCTCTCCGCCGCCGGTCCTGCAGCCGAGCGCCCGCCCCGCTGACCCCTTCCCTCCCTCCCGGCTGGCGCGGGCGGCCCCGCTCTCACCCCACCCCGAGGGCGCTCACCTCCTCCTCCTCCTCTTCACTCCCTCCTGGAGACCGTCGGCACCGACGCGCCGGCGTCCCGGCCCCTCCCTCAGCTCAGCGCCGGCCCCCCCTTCCGCCCCGCCGCCCGGGGACCCTCCCTGCCCGCGGGGACAGCGGGACGGGCTCCGCCGGGGAGAGCCCGGCTGCCGGAGCGGGGCACGGGCAGCAGGAGCACAGGGAGAAGCGATGGAACGGAAAGCGAACCGCGCGAGGAAAGCGACGAGTCCCTTAGCAAGAGTTTTGGAAACGGGGAGGGGTGGGAGGAATAAATAACAAGGAGTTATGCACCAGGTGGGCTAAATAGAAACAATTAGAAAGAAGATGGTTTTCTGGGAGAAGCAGCTGAAAAGAGTGACAATCAGGGCTGTTGCCAGTTAGATGTGAGTAGGAGGTGTGTGTGCTTTCAGTAAGTCAAGCCTTCTCAGGTGTTGCAGCTCCTGGGAGAGGCTGAGCAGGTGTTAGCTTAGAATCATCATAGATTCCTAAAATGGTTTGGGTTGGAAGGGACCTTAAAGACTTCCTCGTTCCAACCTGCTGCCGTGGCCAGGAACACCTTCTACTAGAGAGGTTGCTCCAAGCACCATCCATCCCGGCCTTGAACACTTCTAGGGATGGGGCAGACACAACTTCTCTGGGCAACTTGTTCCAGTGCCTCACCACCTTCCCAGTAAATAATTTTTTTCCTGATATCTAATATAAACCTGTCTAAGTTTGAACCTGTTCTCCCTTATCCTGTCACAGCATGGTCTTGTAAGTTGTCTTGTCCCATTTTTCCTGTAAGTTCCCTTCAGACACTGGAAGGTCACAATGAAACCACCCCAAAGCCTTCTCTTTTCCAGGCTGGACAATCCCAATTCTCTCAGCCCTGTGTCACTGGAGAGGTGCTCCATCTCTCTGATCAACCTGGTTGCCTCCTTTGTAGGTGTAATTGTTACAGGCAAGTGTATCAACCCTCTTTTTGCCCACACTGAGTAACAAACCTTCCCAGCAAAACTAGTTCAGAGGAAAAATGTTTTGTCACACTGGCTCAGTTTAGCATGGTGTTATCTCTGGTATGTAGACAGAATTTTTTTTTCTTTTTTTAATAGGAAGTCAAAATGAGTAACACCTAATGGAGTGACAAAGCAGAATTTCCAAAGAGTACAGCTGTGAGAAGCACCAACACCAGTAACTTGAGGAATTATGTATTTTTTTTTCCCTTCTCTGGTTAGTCAGTGATTATGAAAGGGTGACGAGAAGGCTGATTTGCATGAGAAATACCCTTAGGATAATGCAGTGTTTAGTTTCACAAGTTCTTAGGTTCAAAAATCCTGGTAAAGTTGTTTTCCAATAGCTTTCCGCTGTCCTGCACCTCTGAATTCCTGACACTGCAAAGCTGTGGAAATGTGAAAACATCACAAAGGATGTTCTTCATAGGTTTTACCTAGGCAGAAGTGGTAAGACTTGAAAATATTTTAATATTTATCATGCCCATTATAAATAATTTTATAAGGTTGTGTCTTTCAGAGAGGGTGACAGATGAGGAGGCCTCCAGTCCAGCTGAATAATTTGCCCCTGGCATGTGCTGGAACGCAGACAAACAGGATGTTTTATCCCCAATTTATGGATAGAAAAATTGAGGCAAGGAAGTGAAGGCATTTATTTTCCAAGTGTAGAAGTGCTCATTTGTAAGCAGGCAATTTAGGCCTGAACTTTTTTTTTCCCCTTTTTTTTGAGGAAAAGGACCATGTATATACAGTTCCCATTGAAACTACACTTGAGGCACCCAAGCAGAAAGTCTTTGGCCATACTCTTTTGGGGTCCTGCAGCCCTAATCCTATGTTCTAATTGGCCAGTAATCTGTGGACAGATATTGTAACAGTTCCTTTAGAATATTTTTCTACTTCTCACTCATTTGCATACTAATGGCATAAAAATAGGCACTTCCTGCCAGTAATTAGTTGGAGCCCAGAATTTAAAGAAAGAAAAACACCACAGCATTATGGTAGATGGATGGTACTGAGGAAGCTGCAAAAAAGAGTCACTTCTCTGGTGCTCAGAAAGTGCCTTTAATTTAGAGTTCAAGGCTGGCAACTCTGTTACCTCTGTGTGACAGGGATTAACTGTTTGCTTGGCCTAATAACTTTGCCTCTAATGAGCCCCTCTAACTTTTTTCGTGGCAAATCACTCGATCTGTCCTGCACCCAGGCTCTCTGCTGTAAAATGTTTTTCTTTTTTTGCCTTTTTCCCAGAAGGAATAATGCTGGCAGTGAAGTCTGTGAGCGGAGTTCCTTGTGGATCACTGCGGCTCAGACCAGCACAGAGGCTGCTCAAGGGTTTCTCACCTAATGAGGCACTGTGGAACCCATGCCACATCAAGTCATGTGGAGTTCTAGGTTACAAGAGCCCTTTAGGAGCTGCATGTAAGTATGGGGTTATTTGACTTCTCACATGTAGGCCATAGACTTGACTGCAAACCAAGGTAATGATAGCTGGAAATTTTCCTCTTCTGATGTAGCAACATATTGCCTTTACATATCATAGAATCATGGAACAGTTTGGGTCAGAAAGGACTTTAAAGATCATCCAGTTCCAAGCAACTTCAGTGAGACAATGAAAGTTTATTTTGCTGCTTCTGTTTTCCTAAATTCTGGAGATCCTCAGTACATGGTGCTGCTGGAGTGAGTCCAGCAGAAGATACAAACATGATTGAGGTGCTGGAGTATCTTTGTTCTCAAAGAACCAGGGGATGGATCCAATAAAGGGTGTTTATGCTGCTTAAGACTGAAAGCTGCAATGCAGAGTAAGTGTTTGGTTCCCTTAAAAAGATCCAGAATCATAGAATAGCTTGGGTTGGAAACATCCAGTGCCAACCCCTCCTGTAATGGCCAGGAACATTCCACTATCCCAGGTTGCTCCAAGCCCCATCCGGGCATAGTCTTAAACACTTTTAGGGATGGGGCAGCCAAAGCTTCTCTGACCAGCCTGTGCTAGGGCCTCTCCACCCTCACAGGCAATAATTTCTTCCTAATATCCAATCTAAACATACCCTCTTTCAGTTTAGAACTCTTCCTCCTTGTTCTGTCATTCCAGGCCCTTGTCCCCAGTCCCTCTCCAGCTCTCCTGGAGCTCCTTTAGGCACTGGATGGGGCTGTAAGGTTTCCTTGGAGCCTTCTCTTCTCCAGGCTGAACAAATCAGCTCTCTCCATTCCAGGAGATGCTCCACCTTTCTTACACCTTTTATTTTGTCTTCCCTCCATCCTGCCCACTTTGTTGCTAATCTTAATGTCAACCATGTGCCAAACTCTCTATTACATTGTGCTGAACTTAGAAGTGAAATTGTGTCACTTTTTTTTTTTAAATCTTGAAAAGCAAACCTTGTGAAGCTTGTATCCAGCAGAACTATAGTGCCAGAAAGTATTTGCCTGAAAACTTTGAGACTGTAGCTTATTAAAGCACAGATCCTTAAGATGATTGGGTCTATTCCATTAGTAGATTTATAAAGTGTGCAGACTGGATAAACAACAGTGACAGCTTGGGGAAGTGTATGCACCTGTTTATTAAAAAGACGTTAACAAGGGCAAATCTAAAATAAGAACATGTACCACAACCCAATTTTCAGCAAATTTTTATGCATGCCTACACTTAAGGTTACCAATGTTATTGGCAATTTCTCTCTCTCTTTTCTCTCTCAGAAGTACACGGCAACTGATGAGCACGGAGCATCTGTGGCAAAGGAAAAAAACACCGTCTTCAAATTTTGAGGAGCAAACATGACCCTTTCTTTTTCTACTGTTTTCCACCCACATTCAGTTAGTGTGAGAGAAGAAAGAAAATTTAAAAAAAAAAGAAAGCAGAAATATTTTCTTCGCAGGGAATGTATTGTTCTCTAATTCACAAGCAAGCACTTTCATCACCTCTGCTTCCATTTTGCTCTACATCATAAGTGACAGCGAGCTTTCTGTATTTTGCTGGTATAACTTAGAAGGGGTCATGATTCTAAAAGTTCTCCTGCAGAACTGAGTCTTCTGTTTGGATGTATGCAAATTCTACAGCGCTTATGCCACTTGTACTTTGCAGATAGGTATAAGCGTATGCAAAAATGGAGATTATATGTGTACATGCAAGTTTTCAGAATTAATCAGCCAAGAATGTACAAAAACTACAAATGCTTTGCTGAAATTTGGCTCAAAATAGATTTATGAATTAGCCTGCTATAGCAGCTTTCACTCAAGCTTGCTAAATACACTCAATTTTTATAAATAATTAATAACTTATAAGATTTGCATGATGATGGGGCTTGGAGCAACCTGGTCTAGTGGAAGGTGTCCCTGGCCATGGCAGGAACATTGGAAGAAGATGGTCTTTAAGGTCCCTTTCAACTGAAACCATTCTATGATTCTATGATAACACTATTGCCCCAGAAAAGCATTTTAACAATATATCCCAATCTTGGGAGGACCTGATGGTACTTTTATCTATTCAAAATTGCTGTAGTAGTGTTTTTATTATAAAATATAGTATAAGTTGCTGTTGGCCTGGAACCCCTTCAAGATTAGCTCTTAATCCTCAAATATATGTAAGTGCTACCTCCTCCTTTTTAGAGATTGAAAACAGGAAACTGCATGGGTTAATAACCAAGTAAATAATTAAAATTTAGACTCCGAACTTGTCAAGTGTATTGCAAGCACAGTCACAAACCCTTCTTGGAGTCACCTTCATGTCAGTAGTTGATGTGAATATTTTTGAAGACAAATCAAAGCCCTGAACTTGCCTGAGTCCTGTGTTTCAGAGTATGGCCAGGACACAGGATAGGTCCCTCAAACACATCTGATTATTTCTGTTATTATGAACTGAAGCAAAGGGTCCTGGAACATTTCTCACAATTCAGCAGGCAAAAAAAAATGCAATGTTTTACTTCAGTCTACCTTTTACTAGAGCTGGGTACAATAGGATGTGATTATTTTAGGAACATTAAAAATATCTACTATCTTCCTCCCATGCTAGGTAGAATAGTAGTCTGAAGTAGTTTTGCTTTGTAATTTTCTGAAACGAAGAATTCTGACTTAACCAAACCTCTTCAGAAGGAAGCTGGCTGATATTATCTTACTTCCCTCTTTTCTTATTGTGGAATTGTTGAGAGAGTGCCAGTTGTTGCTACTTGTCATCACAACTTTCTAGTCCATATTATTGCTCGTTAGAGGCAATAAATGTTAACCAGCAGACTACTTAAAACTGACCAGTGGGCAGAAT